GGCCTGCCACACCTTCCCTGGGCAACCTCTTCCAGGGTCTCACCGCCCTCACAGTGAAAAACTTTTTTTATATTGAATATAAATCTACCCTCTTTCAGTTTAAAGCCATTACCCCTTGTCCTATTCCTACATGCCCTTGTAAAAAGTCCCCACCTTTCCTTTAGGCCCCATTTAAGTACTTGAAGGTCTCCCTGATGCCTTCACTTCTCTATGCTGAATGACCCCCAACTCTCAGCCTGTTGAGAAAGGTGGTTTGGTTTTTTTTTTAAAAAAAAAAACCGGACAACAAACCAAAACCAACACAACCCCTCCTTTTTTTTAAAGAAACCCTCTTTTTTTTAAAGGGAGCGCTACGAAGTAATTGATTCTTTATCATAGAATGGCCTAGGCTGGAAGGGACCTTAGAGATCATCTAATCCAACCCCCCTGTCATGGGCAGGGACGCCTCTCAACTAGATCATGATACTCAAGGCTCCGTCCAACTTGGCCTTGAACACCTCCAGGGAGGGGGCAGCCACAGGTTCTCTGGCCAATTAATTCCAAAGTCTTGTCACCCTTATACTGAAAAATTTCTTCCTAAGATCTAATCTAAATCTATTCTCCTTCAAATTAAACCCATTTCCCCTTGTCCTATCAGTGGACACTCTTGTAAAAAGTCCCTCCCCAGCCTTGCTGTAGGTTCCCTTCAGGTATTGGAAGTCTTCCCTTTTCAAGACTGAACAATCCCAGCTCCCGCAGCCTGTCCTCGTATCGGAGGTGCTCCAGCCCCTGGATCATGTTTGTGGCCTCCTCTGAACTCGTTCCAACAGATCTATGTCCCTCTTATGGTGGGGACACCAGAACTGGATGCAGTATTTGAGGTGAGGTCTCGTAAGAGCAGAGTAAAGTGGGAAAAGGAGACCAATGTGATTTTATGTTCCTGTTTTCTTCTGAGAAGTAGTTTATAGTACCTGAAGCGAAGCAAATATTTAACAACTTTACTGCGGAACCTCATCTGTCTTAAGTTACTTAAATAGAAATCAGAGTTAAGGGGATAAACTAGTGTCTTTTGGTGTCATGGTTTAACCCTGGCCAGCCAACTAAGCACCACTCAGCTGCTTACTCCCCAACTGTGGCATGGGGAAGAGAATCAGAAGAGTAAAAGTGAGAAGACTCATGGGTTGATATAAGGGCAATTTAATAGTTAAAGCTGCACACACAAGCAAAGCAAAACAAGGAATTTGTTCTCCACTTCCCACGGGCAGGCAGATGTTCAGCCAGCTCCAGCAAAGCAGGGCTCCATTGCACAGAACAGGTAATCCGGAAGACAAATGCTGTCACTGCACACGTCCCCGCTTCATCCTTCTTCCCCCAGCTTTTATTTTACTGCTGAGCACAGCATCGAAGTGTCTGGGATCTCCCTTTGATCAGCTGTCCCAGCCCTGTCCCCTCCCAGTTCCTGCAGCCCCAGCCCACTCGCTCCTGGGACGAGGAGCCGAAAAGGCCCCGACTCTAAGTGCTGCTCAGCAATAAGGAAAATATCGCTGTGTTCTCAGCACTGTTTTCAGCACAAATCCAAAGCATAGCCACGTGCTAGCTACTATGAAGAAAATTAGCTCTACCCCAGCCAAACCCAGCACATAGGGATCGACTAATATAGGGACTTGCACAAAACAGAACACAAGTCTGGGCTAAGAAGTAGAAAAAAATAGTGCTGAGTGTACTACAAAAGGAAAAACATTATATCTCACTTCTTCTACCATCCACAGATGAGTGAGGAGCCGCTGGACCGCTGACCAAAATTTACAATGACTTGTTCTGCTAGGTCCGTAATTCTGATGACAGGCTAAGCGAGTGAGTTTAGCTAAGAGTGCTCTTTTTATAGGTTCAATAAAGATTTTGAAGTAATATCACAAAAATTTCTGTATGATGTGTACTCTGTAAGCTTTTATAGTATATGGACAGCTCACTTGGAAAGATATTGCCAGTAACTTGTCAAAAGGGACCGAGAGGTAATTCAGATAAGTGTTGGGAAAACTGTTTATAAATATGCTGATAAGAATTATTTATAAATATGCTGCTTGATAGAGGTTTCTAAGCAGAAATGGTACACATTAGTGGTAGTACCAGAAGTATGATGCCAAAGAGGGTGAGGGCAAAGAAAGGTAAAATAACCAAACTTCTTTGTACTTGATTAAAAACTGCTTGAAAATGTCTGGGGAGCAGAACATTAACTTGAGTGGGATCCAGCCGCCAGTCATTACTGAGATCTCAAGACTGCTAAGGACCATTTTAGCCTTCGTTATTTATTTTCCTTTCTTCAGGCTTACACTTGTTAAGCAGGGATTATTGAACAGATGCAAGAAAATTATATGGTAGCTCAGCTTTTAAACGGACCTTTGAAGCTTGGCAATTTTGTCAGCATTATTTTTGAGTGGTTCTGGTGCTTGTTCAAATGAGATGGTAGAAGGGAACACAGATTAGGGATACCAAATGCTAGTTCTTTCGGAGGAATTGGAAGTGTATTTAAATAAACATTCTCTTGGCCTTTGCATTTACAGAAAAAAATGAACTAATAACTTTAAAGAATTGGTATTGAAACCATCCTTATAAAAATGCAATTTTTTCAGCAAATACAGAAATCTAGATGTTTTTACAATTATTGCCACCTTGCTGGGGGTGACGCTTGTTGAAGTTCATGGAAAAATGGGTGGGACAAGTGTGCCCTGCAGCACCAAACGGTAAGGTGAAAGGGAAACGAGAATAATAGTAGGACTCGTAGAAATGGAGTGGAATGCTCTGTTTTCTGGGAGTCTCATAAAGCAGGACAAGTTGAGAGAAATAGTGATAATCTAGTTAGTATGACCCAAGTGAAGAGTCATCAGTGTTTAAGGCATGAGGATTGAAAGGTTAAGGACTTCTAAGAAAAAAGATCTTCTCAACATTTTGTTTGGGTTATTGGGAAAACTTTGGATTTGCCTCAATGGTATGGGATTTAATGAAGAAGATAATTACTCATTGAGGGGGGAACTTGTATAGGAGGTTCTGGGAGTCATTGTAAATTTGAAGCCTATATAAGCATTGGGCTAGTTTAAAGGCCAAAACTGAGTCTACGATATGTTCAACTAACTGACTGTCCAATTTGTTTTAAATGGTAAGTGTTCCATGCATATACCACTTCAGCTAATCTCCTCAAAATTTTCATTATAAAATTCTAGCAAAAGTGTTTGTGACTTGGAAAACCTTTTTAAAGTCACAGTGGATTGTCGTCTGGTTTCAAAATTCCCAGTAACACAATTTAGTGCCCCACAATTCCTGATGAAAGAAATATACGGAATAGATCTTCAGGGTCACCTCCAGAAAGATTGCGCTTACAGATGCCTGTTTGAATTAAAATAAATCCTGGAGTTGGTAGAAATCAGATGATGTGCCTCTTGACCATTATTCTCTTTCCCATGGTGTAGGGGAAAAATGCATTTGGTGGTTTTATTTTTGTGTTTCAGTATAATGAAAACGAGTTGTACAGATGGATTAGGAAGCTAAAGGAGACATCTGAGAGGTAGCTTTATCTTACACATTACGTGGACCAGAAGACCTGATGAAGCAAAGTAGCCCTTGGGGAAGCAAGGACAGCAATTTTCAGTCACTACCTACTGTGTAAAAGAAATAAAAGAATTACAGACCATCACACTTCCAGCTGAGAAGCATGGGCTTTATTTGTTTATTTTTCTTTTATAGTAAACTGAATCTCTTAAAAGTTTTTGGATGTTAGATCTTGCTAGTGTTTGCTAGATGGAAGTCAGGTTTGAAAAAAGATTGATTTAACATTTAATCTTGTGATATTCAACCTTGTAACTTAGGCTTTTTTAAAAATCAAATTAGGATTGTGAATTTAGACTTCCAAGGTAGGTATTTTAAAGGTACTAATGGTACAGGCCATTTGCAAAATGGATCCACCTAATCACAGCTGGATAGTCTGTAGAGAGTCAGTTCATACTAGCCACCATTTATTAACAAATTATTTAGTGAATCGAATTAGATTGCTTATAAATCATAAAGCTTAAAAAAGAGGAGCATTAGCTCCTTTATCTAGCTCTATTTTTTGGTAATGTTTTTGTTTTAAAAACAAGCCTTGAGTGGCATCTCCATTTCCATTCACAAATAGAGGAAAACCAGAAAAATCATGCAGTGTATAAGGGACATAAACACCTGAACGAATGGTTGTTTATGGAAGCTAGGGAAAAAATAAAGCAAGTCCTAGCGATGCTTTCCTAAGGTAAAATCTGCCAAACCACCCTGTAAAAGGATTGCTGAGGAAAAGCTCCTGTGTGTAGAGGTACTGCAGGTAGCACAAATGTAGGTAGTACACAATGTGTAGAATCATTAGTCTTGAAATCTCTGTGGAGAGAATTTTCTTTTTTTAAAACAGTGTTAACTCTTAGAATAGTTGTAACTTTCAGGAATCTGGAATGAATGTTAATTTTGGGATATAAACTTAATGCTCTTGTGAATAATTAAAAATGCTAACATCGTTGTGCAGAAAACGGAGCTTGAGCTTACGGTGGTTAAAATTAAATTACAATCCAAATGGACAGTTTGCCTGTGCAATCTGAGGTAAATGATGTAAGCAACCAAAATAAGAAGGTAGAATATGACTGGAATATCTGTTGAGTTAATTCTTAGCAGCTAATAATCGTGAGATGCCTTTGTCAAGGTTGATTGTACTACTCAAAGCGTTCAGAAACGTGACTCCAAATGCATTTTCCTTTAACTGCCATGGACATACTTACATTAACTTTCAAACTGAGATAATTATTCAGTTTTGACTCTACACTATTTAGCAATGTCCTTTGCTTTCTCTCACATCGCCTAGTACACTGGTTATTAATATCTTTTTCTCAAAGGATAGACCCCCAGAGTTGTCCAGCTTGAAGCAGTATTATCTTCAAAACCGAGCACTACAAAGCTGAAGGTTTGTTGTGGGTGTTCTTAAAAGTTTTAAAATAAAGAGGGAATGCTTCAGGAAGGACATGGATTGTATAGTCATTTCCCTGCCATGAGACACTGTTAATAGGAGTTGGAGATACCCAGTATCCCATTTCTGTCATTAATTTCCTCCTGTAGCACCATGTTAAACTCGGAGAAAGGTATATTCCATTTCATTGCAGGTAATTAACAGCACTTAACTAAAAGATTAGACATAATTCTGCTAAGTAAAACTCTCAAGTTTTGGGTGGTTTGGGGTTTTTTTTGTTTAGGTTTTTTTTTGTGTTTTTTTTTTTATCCTGTAGTTCCTTGTGGTAATGGTTACGCAGCTGTGAGAATGCAGCAATGCTGGGTAAAGTGCTGATACCACAGTAGGCTATTACATATAGAAATGCACACCACCTACCAACAGTAACTAATGATCGCTGTTACCCAGAATCTGTAACAAAAAAAATTCTTCCTGATGCCTGCTGTGCGCCCTGAGTCTCCTTTCTCTGGAGCTGGGTGCTGTTCATTAGTGCTTTTACCCCCTTGTTGGTGAAGGGACTGACAGTAGCTCTGCTCAGGGTGATCCTCTCTCTGGCGTCCTGGCTCTAAAGGAAGATTCTGGCAGAATTGGTTTGTGCACATGGAGATCAGGGGATCCTGGAAGAAGTTCTGCTGAAACAGATGGGGTAGCAGGAAGGAGTTTAAAGATTGCCTGAAGAGAGGCACAAGTACCTCACCCTACTGAGGTCAGGCCAGTGAGGTAACAGAGAGCGCTGATCTTCTCCTAACCTTTCTGCTCCTGTCCTTTTAGAAAAAAAAAGGTATATTTGATGATACTATTATCGTTGTTATTGCACTCCATAGTGCTCAGTTGTTGCCTTTGTTACTGATGCTAAAACAGTTTTGCAGAAGGTGCTGTTAGGAGTACACCTGGAAACATTTCTAACTTGAGTTTCCAGCCAAATATCAGGAAGTTAGTGCGTGACTGGTAGCAGCCTTTATTTATGCCATTTCCTTTGGATATAGTACAACTTGTTAAATAGATACTTCCAGTAGTAGTTGACTAGTTGGAAAGAATCACAATACTTAGCATTTGCAGGTGAAATCAGGGATGGCTCTTACACCACGGAACAATGATGTCCATCCCTGCCAGAATAATGTCACTCTGAGACTTATTTCACTGTCGTGGTAAGCGCAGGCGGCACAAGTGCTCGCAGAAAGCCCAGCGCTGCAGCCCACTTGATGGAGAAGTACGCGGTGCTCGCACAGGAGTCCTCAGTGCAGAGACAGGGGAAGGAGGGGATACCCTCTAGCTAAAAAAACATTAGAGCTGCCACTATGAAAAATGATCTCATCATAAATTCCTCTGGTTTTGGACTACATGCTGTCACTTAAATGTCTGTCCTGCCAACTTGTGTCACAGGCAGCAGCAAACTGGCTTTATTCTGAGCTGTGTTTTAGAACATTTTTAGCCTTGTCACATTTGTGGCCATGGTGTTTGTGTATAGTACACATATATAAAACATAAATATATAACTAACTAGTACATAGTGTGATTTCTTGTTCTTCTTCACGGAGGATGTGCCCGTGGCTATCTGTAACTGATGGCTTCTCGTTTTTTCTCCTCCAGGCCCTCTGAACACAATTTTGTGATTGTAGAGCTAGTTGTGATATAGCAATTCTGCATACTTTTTTAAGAACCTTCAGATACTGAGACTACTTCAGACACTGTGGAGCTGACAGGTTGCTAGGATTGTAACTTGTTCCTTGCATATATTTGGAATTTCTGTTAAGTTTCAACTCCCATTTTTATTTTTACTTTTTTTTTTCCTCTCAACAGTTTCATCCTTCTCAAAACTCTCATCTAATGTAGACAAGCATCTGTTGAGTTGGGATTTGTTTTACTAGTTTTGCACTCTTAGCACTAAATATTTTTATTAAATCTATTGCACTTACACACAACTGTCATTCTCAGTTTTGAGTAGCAGTGGAGTTTTCAGTTGCTTGTGACTTCTGGCTATATCTACAGCAATCTTTGACTGTCTTGAAATAAATTTTTGGTCAGGCTGAGTGCTTGTATATCTGCTGTTGATGACTTACCTAGATAAAAAGAAGTAATCTTAGAACCAAGCTGCATTGTTTTTTTGCCTTAATCTTAAATTAGTTTTCTCCAGTGCTGCACAAAGTGGTGGTGCTTTCCGTTCCCCCATCTTAATCCCTGTTTTCTCAGTTGTCCTTTAGTAACTGGCTTGTGTGACACAAATAAGTTTATTGCCAACTAATTTAGTTGTGAAGTCATATAAAAAGCTTAAAAAGACTGAAGAGGTCGACATTTATGTTGTATTATTAGTACATAGCAAAAACTGTGGTGAAACTCCATAGATGTTATCTGAATAAGTTGATTTTAGTAACTGGAGAATTTTCCTACTTGTAAACATCTTTCTGGTTGAATTTTTTTTTTTTTGAGTGAAGAAAGTGTGCTTGAGTTGACTTAGTTGTTTCACTGTTAGTTTTCAGGCTGACCACTGTGCAGCATCATGACATTGTCTGTGTAGGATTTCTAGTCTTACATGATAACACATGAAGTTGATATGCCTTTTCTTTGTGAAAACAGCTTTCATTTCAGCATGGTGATACAGAGAATGTGGCTTTAAAAGTGAATTATGGAGAGTACTTTGACTCCTGGTACTCTCTCAATGTTTGTTTTATGATCCTCAGAAATATCAATCTTGAAAGATCAAGCATGGGGCTTTCCAGTATGGGGTGCAAGCCAATAATTGGAAAATTGAAGCCAGTAATTTAGAGATAAAGCAAAACTCCTTATGTGCTAATGTTGCTAATTAACACGAGGTTAACATGTGAACATCTGCTTTAATTTATAATGCTTTAGTCATCTGTATTAGCTTTTGTTTCATGTTTTGTTTCAGACATCTTTTGTTTTGTTTTTGTTTTTCTTATCCATCTTTAATTCTAGAACAACCAGAGAATGGTAATGATGCTACTGAATTGGGCAACTTTATCATACCTGAGATTAGTGTCACAAGTGTGGCTGGAGAGAGGACCGGGAATGGGGAAAAGAGCAGAGCGCTAGCAGAGAATGATGTTCAGCATTTACAGGGAGTACAGGAAGCAACTACAGATCCTAGAACTGACAGCAAAGGCATGCCAGAAATCAGGAGGCAAAAATCTGTAAGAAAAATGATGGAGGATGGAATAAACTCATCTGGCAGAGTGCAGTTTTAGCAGAGCACTTGTAGCTGCGCTCTAAGGTACCACTGCTGATTGAAAGGGTCACTGCTGCATGTTTGGAGAGTTAAAGTATGCAGTTAATATATTTGCATGTGTAATAACACAAATGCATGTATTGCACACAGCTTCGTCTGTGCCACAGACAATGATGAAATACTTACAAGACGATTTATTTAATCTGGAGAGAATACGTCGTGAGACTCAACATCCCTTTGAATTTATTAAGTACATTTACTGAGTTTGCAAAATCAGGTGATCAATGGTGTGAAGAATCCATGAAAATGGCTGTGGAAGTATCTCACTGTGTACCTCAGACTTCCCAAATTCCACCTTTCATGGTGTACTTGGAGATCTCATGTTGTGCTTGAGTTCTCAACTCATACCACCAGACCTGTGATGCAGAAGGTGACCTTTCAGTCCTAAAGCATTCTTGGGTTGCTAAACGTGCAGGTGCCATGTTGGGTGTCCTGGGACATTGATCACATACCTTTGTAATTAATGAGCTTTGCAAAAATCATGTATTGGAGCACTTGCTCGAAATAAGATTTACGCCTTTTTTTTGTTGTTTTGTGTCGTATCTTCTAATCTCTAAATTTCTAATCTGCATGAATTAACAAGACTGCTTTTCTTTTTTCTATTTTTTTTTTTAAATCACTACAAAATGAGATTGTGGGCATGCTCCTTGATCTAGTTAATGTAGCATTTTTTGCTGTAACTTCATATCCTAATGAACTTTAATTCCAAAATGTAATGGAATAGGTAAGTGTTTTGTCTTCTGTTCTCTGATCTGTTGCTCTATGGCTTCATGCTTGAAAATATCAAAATTTAGCAACACATAAAGTCGATGAACGCAAGAAAGTCAGTTGCTAATTCCTTATTTCTTTTTCTGCCATGCAGGTAATACTGATTTAGCAATTCAAGAAGAACTGATAGAAGTATCTGAAACTGATGAAGGGTTTTACTCTAGGGCTACGTCCAGTACAAGTCAGTCTGCCCTATCTAACAGCAGCAACACGAGCAGTAAGAACTTCTTAGGCAAAAGCCAACGAAGGTCTGGAGGAAGCAAAGCCGGAGGAAAAGAAAAAGAAGGAGAAACCTGCAGAGAACACTTGTCACGAAAACAAACTCAGAGAGCCATGAGTGAGAATCTAGAGCTTGTCTCTCTGAAGAGACTGACACTGACCAGCAGCCAGTCCCTGCCTAAGCCTGGCAGCCATAGCTTGGCCAGAACGACCACTACTGTGTTTAGTAAATCCTTTGAGCATGTCGGTGGTGTCACAGTTCCAAATAATCGTGGTGGTGTATCTGGTACAGAGGCAAACAGGTTTTCAGCCTGCAGTCTTCAGGAGGACAAATTGATATATGGAACAGAAAGAACAGATCTTCCAATTTTAAGCAAACAACCTAATCAGCAGCGACCTCCTAGTATTAGCATAACTTTGTCAACAGACTGATAGTAAATTGGCAAGTATGAAAACTAAAGTATTGAGGGTGTATGCTGATACTGGTACATTAAGGTCCTTAGTATGCTATACATCAGTTAAATCTAAAGCCTGCAAATTCTCCTTTGGCTCACATTTGTCAGGAATGGTGAATAGACAACAGTTTTAATCATTGTGCATCAACTTCTAATAGCTTGGAAGGTTCCTCTTTGAGTTACTGTACTTATAAACCTGATTGCTCACGGCTTCAAGTGAAATTTGTACCTTCACCAACTTAGTGAATATCGATAGGTTATTTAGCCACCAACCGAGCTGTGTGGCTTTTCACAAACGCACAGTATGGGAGCCTCTTTCCCAAGTTCCACTTTTTGACTACCACTTGGCATAGGCAAAACTGCAAGTACTTGTTTTATTTAAGAGGAGTCTTGCATTATGGGCATGACATTTTGTAACAGCATTGTAAGAATAAACATTTCATGTTAGCAATGAGAAAGCTGTGCTTACGTGCAAGGTTAAAAGTAGAAGCATCACTTCAGTGTTTCGTGTCACAGCAGTTTTTTTAATGGTAGTTAGTACAAGTTGCAATCTTCATACTCCTTTATTCCTATATGAGTCTGAATTTCAGATTCAGATTATTGTTTCTTAGGCATCTTTGAAACTGGGCCAAAAAGTCGTACAACAGCAGTACTTCTGGATGGGAGTTCTTAACAGTAGCTGTAAGTCACTAAAATACGTGACTGTCTTTTTTACAGATTCTTATAGATCAGGCACAAAGGTGCTCATGGAAAAGTCACTGCCATCAGTATTTTTATTATTTATGGGGAAGAGATGTGTTTATGTAACAACGTTGTGTAGGAAATAAGGTACAAGCCCTTTGCACTGACTCGAGCAAATCAGGAGTGTGAATGTGTTCAGTGTGAACTGCTTAACTGAGACTAAGAGAATACTACCAAAGGATGTGTGTTTTCAGTAGCTTGCAAGCACAAAGGGAAATTATAATGTAAATATAATAGCACTGTAATTCCTAGTCTTTTATATCTATTATTTTTCTAGTTTAAATTCTAAACCAGCAGCCTAACTAAAAGGTTACCTAACCTTTTGGTGACCTTGTTTGATAGCAACTTTGATAATGTTAGGATTTTAATTAAAAACGGACGTTAAGTCTTCGTATGCAGAAATGTGGAGAAGCAAGAGCTGACAAAACCACTCTAGTAGCAGTGATTAGCCACTAAACAGATATTATTATGAGTGGAAAAATAGGATGAAGATCTAGGGCATTCCCAACTCTCCAGATTTCTGCAGCTAGTGGTCCTGTATTGTCAAGAACTTTGCAACAAAGCAAACACTACAATTCTGATAGATTTTCCTACTTGCCTGGAGATTAGTTTAGATATCCCCTTTTGACTTAAACTGAGGCACAAGTAAGTTTTAAGCAGCTAATGTAATTCAGGTTTATAGCAATTAATAAGCTGGGTAATTACTGAAAAGAGATGAGGAGACATAGTTGATAGGGACAAGTAAGTTGTATAAGTTTATTTGTAAGACTGCAGACTGGGTATGTAGATTTCTTAACATCCACCAATGTATGTGGAATAGCTGCATCGGTCTGTAGATGTTTGTCTTCACCTGAGAGCCTGAGTTTAAGTCAATATGCCACATTTTCTTATATTCTTCAGTTTGTTGTGTCCCACTGGTCTGTTCTAGCAGTGCAGTATTTCACCTTCTTACAGTGAAGTGTTTTCTTTGCATAAAAATTTACGTTCCTAATGTACAAACAAGTTTGTCCTGTTTAGTGTTTAATAGCTTGGCCAGTGAAATAAACTGGTTCTTTGAAATAGTACATTTTTGTAAATACTTTGTACAGCAGAAATATTTGCCTCTTTTACGAGTTTTTCTGCAATACACGTTAGACTGTGCATTTGTTTCCGATCGACTGATACATGTGGCTGCACAGCCACAGGCAAAAGGAGGCTTTTAGGCAGCTGATAGCAGACATTGGCTTGCACTGAACGTGTTGAATGTACAGCCCTTCCTTTCCTTGAAATTTGTTCTAGATGTTACAAAGACATAATCTGCAGAATTAACAGCTGCCTCCTGATCTGCTCTTGCTGGGTAGCATTTAAGAATACTTCGGAAAAACTTTATAGTAATTTAAATTGAAACATAAACTAGAATAGAAAAATAAAAATGCAATTGTCAAATATTTGTTGTGGTGGTATTAGTTATGAGTTACTTCTAAGAGGCTAGAATTTTTAGGTAATTCTCCTGGTTTTGTTTTGTTTCATTTAGTTCACGATTGTTGCAATTATTTCCACAGTAGACTCTCTTTCAAGCTGGATGTTGGTGTAAAATGTTTATTATGCTGGGAAGACTCAGTCACTTCAGCCATAAATAATTAGAGTTTTGAAGGACTTAAAATGCCGTAAAATGTAGCTATGTAACATGTTTAGAATGCTGTTGGTTACAAGCCAAATAGTGTTAAAGTACAACTGGTTTATCCTTTTTATCCAGCTGGTTATTTTAACTATGGTCTGGCTTGAACCTGAGACATAAACTCATATTGGTACAACTGAAATTACATAAAGCTTCTTACTTTTCTTGAGAAAGTGCTGAAAGGAAAGGTTCTTGATCCTAAAGGCTGCCATTTCTGTACATATGTTGCTTTGTATAAATATGTATATGTTGGTCTCTGAAGCAACATACACAATGAGCGTGTTTTCATGGACTGACATCACGCCTCGATAATGATCAAGTCTAAAGAATTTCCTTACTGATGTGAATAATAAAACTTTTTTTTTGTGCTCATTTCTTTCTTTAAAAATGGAAATTAAAAAACCCAACAACAGGACAGTGGAGATGGACAATGGAATTATTTGTTGTCCAGATATTCATGGTGCGGGATTTGGGGGGTAGGTGGACCAGAAAGCAAGTAAATTAATTCTTTCACGATATTGCTAAAATTATCAAGCTCTTAGGGTTTGAACCTTATCCAATCGCTTTAGACTAATGAATGAAAATGTATATTAAAGAAGTAGAGGTCTTCTAACAGTGTAAGGAAAACCTATTAAGGTATCCCACGTTGTAGCCTATGCAGGAGTAGGTAATTCTGATGAACGCGCTCCAAAATTGCAGAGAGCTGCACCATTCGGCAGGAAACATGTTATGTGGGAGTGAATCATCTCCAATTATAATAAGAGAGTTGTTTTAATGCTGACATTTATAACTGACCGTACTGTTTTAAATCAAAGGGCACTGTTTCCAACGGTGGCTGTGAATAGTAACGCTTTCAAACCTCAGCTGAAGCTGAGAAGAATTGGTTTTGTTGTGAGTCTGCAACATTTCTGCAAAAATCCTTCGGGCCTCTAACCGCTCGCTGTAGAGCTGCAGTGATTTCTGAGGGGACTGAAATGTCCATGAATTGCCTTGATTACCTGACAGGTTTGACAAGTACAGGAATTCATAGCTATTTTAGCCACACTTGTCTCTAATTCTTCTGATTTCTATGCGGATTCTAGAAATTTCTATCTTTATTATGTCTGATACCTTTTGTCAATGTTTGAGGCTGTATATAGGTGTGTAACATATTGCCTTTTGTATTTGTATAATACCACTTCTAAGACTAGATGTGTACATTTCTTAAGACTCACTAAACTCTGTGGGATAACTGCATCAGTCTATTGATGTCTGTCTTCACCTGAGAACCTGAGTTTAAATAAATGTTCCACACTTTTTTCATATTCTTCAGGTCATTGTGTGACCCTGTTTTGTGTTTTAGTAACACAGTATTCCACCTTTTTTACAGTGAAGTGTCCTCTTAATTGTACGTGAAAACTTACATTCCTAATGTATAAACTACAAAGTTGTCTTGTTCAGTGTTTAGTATTTTGGGCAGTAAAATAAACATTTTTTTTTGAAGTTGTATGCCTTTCTAAATACTTTGTACAGCAGGGAAAAAAGTGATCCTTTACAGGCTTTGGAGTACAAGTTAGATAGAAATATATTTATTCAGTTTTCATTATACATGTTTAGAAGTCACACTAAGGTTGACTACGTCACTTAAAATTTGCTGAATATGCATTTTACAGAGTGTAGGCTCTGCAGATGCAGCCTCGTCAGGTAGGACACCGTGCCCACACCACTGGCTGAGAAGCACTGACAGACACGTGAAGGGGGAGCTGGAGCGAGTGAGTTGTGACCTGGTTGATGGCAGATGTAGGCGACTGTCCTGTCCGTAAGGCAGCAGTATGTGGCCAACGCGGTGGTTCTGATGGTCTTAATATAACAGTGGTTTGCTTCACAGCCATTACCTGCCATGTGTCTATATTATCAGGTCTTCTCTCCAGCAACGTTCGCTGTGTTTCTGTGACCTGCCGGTGGCGTGGGGGCTCTTGGTTCTCTTTCTGCAAGAGAGCGTGTGGCCGGCTCACTGTGGCCGGCTCACCTTCCCCTGGTTCATGACCCCGGGGCTTTTTGTGCACAGCTGCTTTCCAGCTGCTTGGCCCCTGGGTGTGCTGGTGCCTGGGGGGGTTTGTCCCCAGGAGCAGGACTTGGCGTCGCCCTTGAAGCTTCCTGAGGTTGATTTGTGGGCTCAGGTCTCCTGCCTGTTGATGTCCCCATGAGTAGGGCCCTGTGGGGTGCCAGGCTCTGTGCCTGGTTTTGTCATTAATGCAGATGTTAAGCTGTCCTGGCCTGGGTGCTGGCGTGCACCAGTAAGGCTGGGTCTGCAGCTGGGCTTTGTGCCACTGGTCACAGCCCTCTGAGTCTGGAAATTGTCTGCAGGCAGAGGCCTTGGTCTCCTGAGGGCTGTCCTTGATGCTCATGGCAGCAGTTAGTACCTCGGCCTTTTCCTTCTCTCCTGCCAGCAGGTCATTCAGCTGTGGAGTCCTTTTCCCGGGTCTTCCTGTTGATGATATTTCTGCTAAAGCGCTTCTTGTTGCCCTTCACCTCCCTTGTCAGATTCTTCTTCATTTGGGCTTTAACTTTCCTAACCCCATCTGTGCATGCTTGAATTGCGTGTCTATAATCCCCCCAGGTCCCCTGCTCTTCCTCCCATCTCATGTGTGCTTCTTTTTTTATGTATTTATTTGAGAGCTCTTTGTCCTCACGTCCAGACCTTCTGCTGACTCTACTTGATTTT